GAAGTTTTTTTGTTGGAAGAATTGCCACTTTTAGGTCTGTTATTGAGTGACCGGCGAGATTGAAGTGTTCTCCTACTGGTTTTTGAATGTTATGATTCCTGATGTCAGATTTGTGTCCATTTATTCTTTTGCTTAGAGACTGTCCGGTTTGGCCAATGTACATGGCAGAGGGGCATTGCTGGCACATATCACATTGGTAGATGTGCAGGTGAACGAGCCCTTGATGGTGTGGCTGATGTGGTTAGGTCCTATGATGGTGTCCCTTGAATAGATATGTGGACAGAGTTGGCACCAGGGTTTGTAGCAGGGTTTGGTTCCTGGGTTGGTGTTATTGTTGTGTGGTGTGTAGTTGCTGGTGAGTATTTGCTTCAGGTTGGAGGGCTGTCTGTAAGCAAGGACTGGCCTGTCTCCCAAGGTCTGTGAGAGTGAGGGATCGTCCTTCAGGATAGGTTGTAGATCCTTGATGATGCGCTGGAGAGGTTTTAGTTGGGGGCTGTAGGTAACAGCTAGTGGTGTTCTGTTACTTTCTTTGTTGGGCCTGTTTTGTAGTAGGTGACTTCTTGGTACCCTTCTGGCTATGTCCGTCTGTTTCTTCACTTCACCAGGTGCGTATTGCAGTTTTAAGAACGCTTGATAGAGATCTTGTAGGTGTTTGTCTCTGTCTGAGGGTTTGGAGCAAATGCTGTTGTATCTTAGAGTTTGGCTGTAGTCAGTGGATCGTGTGATGTGGTCTGGATGAAAGCTGGAGGCATGTAGGTAAGTATAGTGGTCAGTAGCTTTCCAGTATAGGATGGTGTTTATGTGACCATCGCTTACTAGCACTGTAGTGTCTAGGAAGTGGACCTCTTGTGTAGACTGGTCCAGGCTGAGGTTGATGGTAGGGTGGAAATCGTTGACATTTTGGTGGAATTCCTCAAGGGCCTCCTTCCCATGGGTCCAGATGATGAAGATGTCATCAATGTAGCGCAAGTAGAGTAGGGGCGTAAGGGGACGAGAGCTGAGGAAGCACTGTTCTAAGTCAGCCATAAAAATGTTGGCATACTGAGGGACCATGCGGGTACCCATAGCAGTCCCGTTGACTTGAAGATATAAATTGTCCCCAAATGTGAAATAGTTGTGAGTGAGGACAAAGTCACAAAGTTCAGCCACCAGGTTTGCCTTGATGGTATTGGGATGCTATTCTCAGAGAATAGTTATCAATAGTTCTCAGTCAAGCTTGAAGGGCATATCGAGTGGGGTCCTGCAGGGATCTGTCCTGAGTCTGGTTCTATTCAATGTCTTCGTAAGTGTACTCTCTATGCCATTATCCAAATCATTTATGAAGTTTGCATATGATACCAAGCTGGGAGGGGTTACAAGTGCTTTGGAGGATAGGATTAGAATTCAAAATGATTTTGACAAACTGGAGAAATTATCTGAATTAAAGAGGATGAAATTCAATAAGGACAAATAAAGTACTATGTTTATGAAGGAATAATCAGTTGCACAAATTCTGGGAAATGACTGCCTAGGAAGGAGTACTGCAGAAAAGAATGCACTAGTTATAGTGGATCACAAACTAAATGAGTCGTGAATGTCATTCTGGGATGTATTAACAGATGTGTTGTAAGCAAGACATAAGTAGTAATTCTTCCTCTCTACTCAGCACTGATAAGGCCTCAACTAGAGTATTTTGTCCAGTTCTGGGCACCACACTTTGGGAAAGATGTAGACAAATTAGAGAAAGTCCAGAGGAGAGCAACAAAAACGATTAAAGGTAGAAAACATGACCGATGAGGAAAGGTTGAAAAAATTGGCTTTGTTTAGTCTGGAGAGAGAAGACTGAGGGAGCACATGAGAACAGCTTTCAAATACATAAAAGGTTGTTACAAGGAGGAGGGTGATAAACTGTTCTCCTTAACCACTGAGGACAGGACAAGAAATAATGGGCTTGAATTACAGCAAGAGAGATTTAGGTTCGCATTAGACGTTAGGAAAAACTTCCTAACTGTAAGGATAGTTAAGCACTGGAACAAATGACCTAGAGAGGTTGTGGAATCTCCATCACTGGAGCTTTTAAGAGCAGGTCAGACAAACACCTGTCAGGGATGGTCTAGATAATACTTAGTCTTGCATCAGTGCAGAGGACTAAAGTAGATGACTTATCGAGGTCCCTTCCAATCCTACATTTCTATGATTCTATGATTGAGCAACAAATTGGCAGATTAAATTCAATGTTGATAAATGCAAAGTACTGCACATTGGAAAACATAATCCCAACTATACATACAAAATGATGGCATCTAAATTAGCTGTTACCACTCACAACAGAGATGTTGGAGTCACTGTGGAAAGGTCTCTGGAAACATCTGCTCAATGTGCAGTGGCCATCAAAAGAGCTAATAGAATGTTAGGAACCATTAGGAAAGGGATAGATAAGAAGACAGAAAATGTCAGAATGCCACAATATAAATCTATGGTACACCTACACCTTGAATACTGTGTGTAGATCTGGTCACCCCATCTCAAAAAAGGTGTATTAGAATTGGAAAAAATACAGAGAGGGACAACAAAAAATATTAGGGGTATGGAACAGCTTCCATGTGAACAGAGATTAAAAAGACTGGGACTGGTCATCTTAGAAAAGAGACAGCTAAGGGGGGGATATGAGAGAGGTCTATAAAATCATGAATGGTGTGGAGAGAGTGAATAAGGACGTGTTAGTTACCCCTTTACGTAACACAAGAACCAGGGGCTACCCAGTGAAATTAATAGGCAGCAGGTTTAAAACAAACATAAAGTAGGACTTCTTCACATAACATACAGTCAACCTGTGCAACTTGTTGCCAGGGGATGTTGTGAAGGCCAAAAGAATAACTGGGCTAAAAAGAATTAAGTACGTTCATGGAGGTTAAGGAAGCTGGGACTTGATGACAAGGGATGGGGTCACTAGATAAATTGCCCTGTTCTGATCATTCTCTGAAACATCTGGTACTGGCCACTGTTGGAAGACGGGACACTGGGCTAGGTCTGATGCAGTATGGCCACTCTTAGGTTCTTAACAGGAGAGTCACTTTGCTCTGCACAGCAGGTCTGGTAGGAGGGGACAAGATAGTTTGTCTCACTCTGCAGATCTGGCCTATCAATAAGAGAGGGCTTATAATTAGTGAATGGGAGGCAATTATGCAAACTAACAGTTTAATTACAGCCATAAGGATAACAGCTAGTGATTATCCAAGTCTACAAATGTTAATTTGGGTTAATCAGCAACAAGAAACCTTATATTAAGCTTATATTTTGTGCCCACAAACTCAATTATCATTGGAAATAACCTGAATACAATAAATGAGACTATATTAAAAGATTGTGGTCACAAAAATTATACCAACAACTGGAATGAAGTAGTTTGTGGCTGACCTCAAAACACACAAGTAAAGATACACTTCGTGATACTCCTCATGTCACTCTGTGCTCTTGAAAGGACCTAGACCTTGCAGTCTCAGACAGACCCTGCGTGTGTTGCAGTTGTGTTTAGAGGGGGTGTGTGCAATTCTGGTCCCAGGCCACTTTACTTCTTTTCCCACAAATGTGCAGCAGGGAAAATGGGAACTTAAACGTGGAGAGATGATACACTGTCTTGGCTCAGTGGCAGTTTGAAGCTAGAAACACTGGTTTTATCACATTGGAGAACTGAGATTCCAGGATTTCCAATGGTGTAAAGCAGCTTGTTTCTATCCTTGGCCTATCTTCCTAAGGTCTTGAAGGATTGGATCTTAAAATCATGTCACCCTGGATTTATAGAAAATAGCTTCATTTTTAGAGGTTTTTAAAATTTAACTTTACTGTCACTCCAAGGCCTGTAGCTAGTAACTAAGGCAATCTGGCTTTACACACAGACAGATGTGAAAAATAGTCCCAATAAAAACTTTTTAAACTACTTACAAAATCTAAGGTAACTGTTGTCTAAAATGTGGGATAACCAAAACCCATGATGGCATGTGGTGATGTAAAGGTTTTATTGCCTCTCCTTTGGAATGGCTTGTATAACTCATGGCATTCCCACTCATGAATACTGTCACCATCCCATTAAAACCCTTATATCACCACACACCATAAAATATTTGCTTTTTATAGCTTTACATAAAATAGCATCTTCAGCCTTTTTAAACTCAATATGGAAAAGCACTGACTTATTCTTCTGAACTGAAATTGTGTGGGTTTTTGGCTGACTTTTTATATAATTAATATTAATATTATAGCTCCTTTCATCCAAGGAGCTCAAAGTGCTTTACAAAACTTTAAGCCTCACAATATGCCTGCATAAATATATGGACCAGTTCACCCCACCACTCAAATAGCAGCATTTAAGGTCATGATTCTAAGATCCTTGATCTCTCAGGATTAGGTCCAAGCAGCACAACACAACAGTTCAGGTCAGGAAGTGAAATAGGATACAATTACCTATGTGAAACTGCAGGAAGAACTTAGTTACCTGAGTAGGAATTTGGCCAAGACTGGGGTTGACACTCTTATTCTTACAGATGTTAAATGGCCAGAACCCTGGTTTTGTCTTTTACCCAAAAGACAGCCCTTCAAATAGATCCATGACTAGGGCTCTTAGGTGTTAAGGTAACACAAATTAATAATAATAAATGCTGTACCAGTGCCACAGTATGGTGTTACTGACCAATGCCTCCCGCTGAGTCTCCTGTTTTTAGCTTTTTGTACAGCACCCACCATGCCAAATGGGTGCTTAATAAATAAATGATGAATCAGGGTGTGCAACAGATGCTTCCATAATCACCTTTTAGAGAATAGCAGCTGTTCCGAAAGGGAATGCTAACTGCTGTGTGTGAGAGTTGCCAACAACTATAAAAAGGGCAGCAACCTGGATCTTCTGTTAGCTGCCATGGTGCTATAGAAATAAGATTTCTTTCAGTAACCACTTGTTCCTAGCTGGAGGCGAGTGAGAAAACTTAAGAATAAAGCGACTAACACTTCCCTTCTCCTTTATGCTGCAGGTTGCCAGGTCACAAGGGAGAGGCATTTTTCTGTTCCGAAAACTCAAGGATGTCATTGACTGGAGGAAGGTGAAACGTGTACTTTCTCTTCTCACACCACCAAATTTTTTTTTGGGAAGGTCCACCTAGAGCAGAGGCCACCAAAGTGTGGGGTGTGCCCCTGGAGGACCATCCAGAGGAGCGTGGTGGGGCCCGGGCCAGCCCCCACGGGGGCAGGGAGGGAGTGCAACCAGTCCCTCCCCACCCCCAGCTGTGCTACAGTCCAGCCCCCAGCCGCATCCCCGGCTCCTGGCCCCATGTGTGTGTGGCCCCAGCCTTGGCCACGGCTCTGTTCCTGGCCCAGGGCCAAGGCCGGGAGCAGAGCACCTGGTCGTGGGTCTGGCTGCTGGCCCCCACCGCAGCCCGGCTGTGGCTCCACTCCTGCCCCAGACCCACCCACAGCTGCGGCCCCAGCCTCAGCCCCCTTACCCTTGTCTGCATACCCCAGCCATGGTCCCACTCCCAGCCCCAGCTCAGAGGGACACAGACAGGGGTAAGGGGGGCATGACCCTCAAAAGTTTGGGGACCGCTGACCTAGAGCTTTGGTCTTCCAACTGTAATTTTATCTAAATACCTTTACTCTAGTCACTTACTGTCCCCATCTACAGCTTTCACATGTAACACTTATCACCATCCACCAGGATTACAACAGATTTTCTCACTGTGCAACAAAACAAAAGGTGGGATGTTTGTCGTTGATCTGAAATCTAAAACTGGGACGGATTGACTGGAGAATCCTGTGAGTGCTTGTGATTTGATTTTTCTCCTCGTTCAGTCTTGTCCATGGAGAAGAAATAACTTGTTTTATTTTGCAGGATGGGGTCCGTACAGATGATCAGAAAGATGAAACTCAAGTAGAGAATTATGTAGCTCAGTGCTATATTGAAAACCCATATTTAATAGGAGGTAAGATGCTTGTTTCAGTCTGTATCTGCCTGACATGTGGAGAGAGACACTCCCCCTATGATGTTCCTGTCACAGAGGGAGGGAGATCCCCTGATCACCTGTCTGATGAAGGTTAAGACTTTATATGGTCAGTTCTTGCCTGAAATTAGCTACTTATGGATTTAAATGTGAATCTTACAATGCTGCACAGTCAGTGCTGCTGGTGTGGTAATTTAGTGGTCCTGCCCCAAAAGATTTTGAGAATACAGAGGTGATCCGATGAACAAAAATTAGACCTAATACAAGCCACACATATTAAAGATAAGCCAAGCCCCATATGGTAGCAGGTTCCTCTCTAAGAGCTTCTCTTCATACAACCAGGACCAAAAGGTTTTAGCGCAAATCTTGTTGTTTTGGTACAAGTCTGTATGTGGCCACTTATTTGGATTAAGAGCATCCTACTGATTTAAATTGTCTTAATCCGAAATTCATGTCCACACACAGATTTGTACCAAAATAACAAAAGGTGTGATTTAAGACCCATCTAGTTATTTTGGTGCATGGCTGTGTGTAGATAAGTTCTAATCTGGGTTTTTGTAACATTAGGTATGACTAGCACTAACTTCACTATGTTATATTGCTATATATTTCTCTTTGATTCACAGGTCGAAAGTTTGACTTGAGAGTTTATGTTCTAGTGATGTCTGTAAGTGCAGAAGTCCATTTTATTTTTATTGCAGTGACTGGGTTGGATTTTCTTGCTATTCACCCTCAGTTTCTCGCTCCCCTTTCTCTCAGTACATTCCACTGAAGGCCTGGTTATACCGGGACGGCTTTGCTCGCTTCTCCAACACACGCTTCACTCTGAGTAGCATAGATGATCATTGTATCCTGACCTGTCCTTGTGGGATACAGGGCAGTTGCTAAGGAATGGAATCTACCATTTTAGTATTTTGGGAGGTGGGGAGTGAAGAAGGGATCCAGAAGAACACGTACCCTTATATCTTGTCTCCTGACTTCTGGATACTTACAGAATACTCATCCTTTGCGATTGTTTCTCACAGGCTGTTCCACTGTCATCTTGTTTCACTCTCGCCCTCTGTCATTGGAATACTGGTGTCAGTGGATCTCCAGAAACGTCAGTCAGCTAGGACCAAACGTGGGAGATCAGTCCCACTTTAGCAGTACAGGTGCACTTATTGCAGCCTGCTTTTTTCAAGGATTCATGGAGTTTAAGGCCAGAAGGGTCATCTAATCTGGCCTCCTGTAAATCATAGCTAGGGCTCCATGTCTGTCACAAAGGTCATGGATTCTGTGACTTTCCGCAACCTCTGTGACTTCTGCAGCAGCCAGTGTGGCTGACTCCAGGGCCGACCAAGCAGCTGGCTCCGGGGCTAGCTGCTCTGGTGGCCCTGTGGAAAGCCACTCCGGCCGCTGCTGGAACGGCTCTGAAGCCAGCTATTCGGCCCAGGGGCCAGCCGCACCAGCTGCTGCTCGGGCAGCCCCAGGCAGCTGGCCCTGAGAACTGCCTGAGCAGCAGTCCTGGGGGCGGCCAGAGCAGCCGCTGCTTGGCAGTCCCAGGTGCAGCTGGTGCTGCTGCCCTCCCCCCCCCGTAGCAGCTCCCCGGGGCGCCTGCCCCCAGTAGTGACCCCCACCCCCAAGATTTAGTCAGGGGTATTTTTAATAAAAGTCATGGACAGGTCATGGGCCGTGAATTTTTATTTATTGCCCATGACCTGTCCATGACTTTTATTAAAAATACCCGTGACTAAATCGTAGCCTTAATCACAGCCCATTAAATGTCCAGTTACCCCAGTACTAAGCCCAATAACTTGTGTTTAAGCATAATTTGTATTTGGCTAAAATTAAGCGTATTCTTCCAGAAAGGCATCCAGTCTTAACTTGAAGACATCAAGAGAGAGAATCCACCACTTTCCTTAGTAAAATATTTAGTAACTTGCTCATTCTTGCTCAGTGTGATCAAAAGGTAGGCTGCTTTAATGAGGCAATCCAGAGTGGGTCTACATCCAAGGTTCTTGGGCACTGGTGCTCTGCATGGCGGTTAGGTTGCGTTCCCAGGAGAAAGAAAAGGAGTACTTGTGGCACCTTAGAGACTAACCAATTTATTTGAGCATGAGCTTTCGTGAGCCACAGCTCACTTCAGCTCATGCTCAAATAAATTGGTTAGTCTCTAAGGTGCCACAAGTACTCCTTTTCTTTTTGCGAATACAGACTAACACGGCTGTTCCTCTGTTCCCAGGAGAAGAGCTTCCATGTAAGTCCATCACAGGAGCCAATGAGGGCTAAAACTTGCTCTGGGCTTTGTTACTAGTTGTTCCAGATTTCCATTTTTATCTGTATTTATTTTCTCTTAATTTTTCACTAAGATGTCTCCCTGCAGTGGTGGGTATAAGCTCCACAATTAGGGAAGGGAGGAGAGATTCATTGGCATAAGGAGCACAGGAGGCTGGTTTAGGACCCAAATTCAATTTCTAATTATTTAGAGTGTCATTTTCTGTCTCCATGATCCTTACCTCCTCCTCATGCCAGATGTGCATCTCACCAATGTAGCAGTGCAGAAGACTGCACCTGACTACGATCCAGAGAAGGTAAGTGAAAACTTACTGGCTACTTCAGCTGACCCAGCCTGTGTCCAAGCGCGCACACACTATGCTGGGTAGTTCAGGGAACGCAAGCAAGTAGCTGTTCTGACTTCGTTGTTCCAGCTACTGTGCAGTATATATGGCAGGTTGGTAGTCCCTGAGGAAGTGCTGTATGGATGCTCTGCCTTGGCTGTCCTCTGATACCCCATGAATGTGTTCATTGATGGATGGTTCAGGAGATCCAGGGAGTGAGTGCTCTGCTCTAACTGTTCCATTACAACTGTGCACTACTTTGTGGTGTTGAGCATTCTGACTCCACAAGTAATTCATTTTTGGATAATGCTTGTCAGAGACCCAGACTTGTAGTTGTTAAGGAAAAGTTAGCACATGTGACTCCATTTTGGTTTGGGGCCCACCATTGTCTAAAAGCAAGCACATCATGCACCAGGAGGAGTGTTCCTTAGATACTGCATTCCTGTGAAAATCCTCCTCCTTGTCTCCAGCCTGCTTTGACTCCCGGTATCTGTTCTTTATCAGTCCCTAAACTCCCTATCTCCTGGCCTTTGATGTGAGGCCTCCCATCTTGATAATAAACTGGTGTTTTTTGGGAACTCGGCAGTTGTGGACTTTGTTTATGTGCCTCAGCCTAGATTTGAACTGTGCGTGACCTACCAGGCGTAATTCGTAGCATTTGTGTGCGTGTCCTACCAGGTGTAATTCATAGCATTTGTGTGCATGTCCTACCAGGTGTAATTCGTAACATAGTGCTTAGCATTCATTGCTATTACCACAGCTATAAGATGAGCTTAGTATCTTCAGAGGTCATCTGTAATTGCTACCCCCCTTTTCTGAGGGACCTGCAGTTGGAACAAAGAAAAAATCTTAAACAAATGAGATCAGCTTTAAATATTCTTTGTGAATCTGAGATAGTTAAAAGTTCACAGAAACAAAGGTTTGCATTGAACTTTCCATTTTATTTGCTTTTCCTCTAAATCTCTAGCCTAATATTTCTTGGTCCTTTGGAAAGGGAAGTACTAGATGTGTGTCTTGTGAAACTCTGATGGAAAGAGAAGGTGGGATCACTATTAGGATACCACTCCCAGTTTTGAGATTAAGTATTGGTTTTACTCCACTTTCCAAGCAGAGACTGCTGTTTCTCTCTAGACTAAGGTTAAATTATTCCTTTCCGAGATGCACTGAGGGGAGGAACATCTGATTCTGGGTGTTTGGCTTCTTATTCAGAATTGTCCTTTGACTGTAGAGAATATTCAGTGATTATTTCAGGTAGGCAAGGAAATGCATGGTCACATATGTAGGAACAGCTTGTTATAGTTGTATTTGTATGTGTTAGGGCTGCAAGTGGATGATTCAGCGATTCCGACAGTACATGACTGCCAAGCATGGGGCAGAAGTGGTGGAGACTCTCTTTGCAGAAATGGACAACATTTTCATCAAGAGCCTACAGAGTGTTCAGAAAGTGATCATCAGCGACAAACATTGTTTTGAACTGTATGGATACGACATCCTGATAGACCAGGATCTCAAGCCGTAAGGATGTTAGTGAGCATACAGGTGGCATACAGTGAATGGAAGGCTGTCTAAACAGCTATTAGACTGAAAAGGCTAGATATTAAGTACACTTGCCATAACCTCAAAAGTAATTTATGTGAAGTGTTGGCTAAGAGGCAGCCTTCTTTACAGAGTTTTAGACTGTGGTGGGGTACTTCTCCTGTTGAAGACTATGGGAAACAGACTCCGCAGGAATCTAAGAGATTGTAACAAGAAATCATACATTCAAATTTGGTTCACCATAGATTTTTATAAAAACAAACTTTCACACAATGTGACTACTAGAAACAATTCAATTGTTTTTTAAATACACATCAATTAAAATGTGCCTTTAAACATAAAAACCTTCTTCTGCAGTGTTTGCAACCAAAATATTGCAACATTGGAAACCTGAAAATAGAACAGACTTTCACTGCAAAAGTAAACAAAGAGCAGCAAAAGCAATAACATTAGATTTTTAAGATTTTCAGTTTTAATCACATAAAGAGCTATTAGTAACATTGATAAGGAAATTTGTATAACATATGATTTAAGTTGACAGTGCCACTTTAAGCATCCTCTCATTTCTTCCTCTTCCTCCCTCTAACAATGTGTGGTAGCCGGTTTTCCAGTTACAACCCTCAATGGCTTGTCAGCATCAGTCTGATGTCTCTGCAGTGCCACTGGGGACAGCTTTATTTGAAGTGAGCTAATAAACGCTGCTCAACTGTGGTCTTGGGTAACAACCCAAATTTGTACAAGCTAGTCTGCTGTAGTCATAGCTTCAAACCAAACTGCTGCTTCTGCAGTGACAATCTGCACAGAAAGAGCTTGTGTAACTTCTGATCAAGAAACAAATCAAGTTGAGGTGAACTGGACTGAATCACCGTGATGTAACTATAATACTATAGTTTGCTGCTGTCATCTGAGCAATGTATTGGGTACTTCCGGATCCACGTAGTCATATTGCGCAGTTTGTTAGGAAACTACTTCCAAGATACATTCACATCCCTACACTGAGGAAAGGGTTAAAACTTACCCTGTGATGTAATGGGGTGCGGGGGAGGGTGTTTCATCTAGCCTTTAGTTCTACTTGTATACTTTTTGGGGTGCTGGAGGGGCTCTCTCTTTATTACAGTTGAGCTCAGAATATTCTTTGTGTACAGGAATGATGTCTGGGGTTCGATTCCCTGTCACTTCACTCCCTCCTACCTGCTCTGCAGCAGTGCAATGAGGGTTCCATAGACAGGCATTTCTGTTAGGTGGACAGATTGCTTAGCTGTCTGCTTCCCTCTAATTCACTGCTGTTCTCTCTACAGCTGGCTTCTTGAGGTTAATGCTTCTCCCTCACTCACTGCCAGTAGTCAGGAGGACTATGAGCTCAAATGTTGCCTTCTCAAGGACACATTGCATATTGTGGACATGGAGGGCAGGTGGGTGAAAAAACGAGTTTACTGCTCTCCATGAGTCTTACCAAAGCGTGTGAAATGTATCTGAGCTAGTCCTCCAGCTTCTGTAGACAAAAGATCGGACTCAAGGCTGCAGGTTTGTCATGCTGGCATTTGCTTCTCTCACTTGGTGCCACTGCCCTGTGACATATCTAGAACCCTCCAGTGATCCACTGGTGGGTCAGGATCCACCGTTTGGAAAACAGGTTATATAAATTTCTATTTTACACATCAGGCAACTTGAACACTGAGAACACTGTCCCAGTGGCCTTTTCTCAGGGCCACAGATGAAGGTGGTGTGAGAACTGGGTCTTGAACTGGAATTCCTGGCTTCCAGTCTAATGCTCAGATCACATGTCTCTCCTTTCATGCCTCATGTATCCAGCCTCCTGTCCCAGGAAGCTTGCCTTGCATCATTTTATGATTGACGGTGCAATTGTGCTAACCCAAGATATTAATAGTAAATAGCTGCCCATTGCAGCTCTCAGCTGTTTGGTTTTCTCCCTGATCTGCACAGGTTTCCAGCCAATGTGCAGACAGCGAATCAGATAGCTACACAGCCATTGCACATGTACTTTAACACCTTGTATTTGATATTGCAGGCTGACGGGGAAGGAGAAGCGTATTGGGGGCTTTGACCTGATGTGGAATGATGGTCCAGTCAGTAGAGCAGAAGGGAACGTGGATACACCAGTAAATGGAAGCTTCATGGCAAACACACATTTAGGTACTTCACTCATACGCAGATGGCAGGGCATCCCACTCATGGTCCTTAACTGTTTAGACATCACCAAAAGTGCAAAACATGCTTTTCCCTCAAGAGTAAAAGGACCAGGTGTGAATTATCACATCGTGCTAGCAGAGTGTAGTACCCCTGTGAGGCTAAGTGTGAGGGGGTGAATGTTTTCCAATTGTGGGTGTAAATGATCAAACTATAGGAGCGTTAAAAGCTGATGTGGTGGCAGTAGTAAGATTTTCGGAACTCCTTACCGCATAAGCGAGCACAGGTATTCTTCACCTGCCAGTTCCTTTTAAAAACTGATTCCCAAATGTTCATAATAAAATTGTGACAGCTGTTTATTGTGCACATTTCTAATGTTGGTTGCATATTCTTGTTTTAGAAGCCCATAATAATGCCCAATTCAATCAGGCAGAAAGTGCCTATTGCAGGTTTTCACATAGCACTAAGTAGTTGAATATGCCTTCAGTATTTTCTCTGGTTGTAGATTCATGCTAACTGATTGGAGCACAGCTTTGTCTGAAAGCAGGTGATTATCTCTACTCTTCACTCTTTGTAAGTCATATGTCACTTTGTTAATGCTTTCATTTCAGGCTACAATAATGACAGGAAAAAACAACTGAAACAGCTCTTCAAACCTCTTCATACCCAGCAGAAAGTTTAATGCTGATCCAGAGCATCAGGAAAGAGAAGTCACTGAGGACTGAGCTCTTTCACTCCCTCTTCCTCCTATTGTGGAGCTGCAGTTCTCATTTGTCTCTGGACAGTTTTGCTGCCTCAGCATAGGACTGCTGGCTATTTCTTGGTTCCTTAAGATTTTCCCTGCATGGGAACCTTAGTTAACAAATGAATCCTGTTCATAAGCCAGAGCAACAATAGATGTGGGTTGGCTTTTAACTTGGACATGATGCAATCAGGTATTTTGGTTATGTTCCGTTGTGATTGACCAGTTCTTCAGTAAAGAATTAATCTGTTTTGTTCCACAGCATAGGCTGTAGCAAGGCTGTCAACTGGCTACTACATATGACTATAGATCAGCGGTACACTCCACATTGCAGACAAAAAGCACTCCTATCCATCACTTTGACTCTGTCTATGTAGCAATGGGTATGAATAAAATATTTAATGCCTCAGTGCTGTTAGAAATCCACAAGAAGTGCTGCTTCACTGGTCCTCAATTTGAGGTTGTTGACTTTAGTAGTTTTCCTTTGAAGTGTAAGCTATAAAAGGGGCTATACAGAATTTGCTCAGTAAAATGGAAGCTTTTAAGAAAAGTGGGTATTTGAGCCTCATGCTGCTGCTACTATAGAAACGTGTCAGATCGTAAGACCTGTTGCCATGATACAGTAACAATAACCTTACTGGTAGATTTTATGAAGGCCCTGAGAGTGGCTCCACGATGCTGGCTACATGAAGAGGGCTGTTATAATGAAGGGGTTTAGTACCTTTGAGATAGGAAAAGCAACTTTACCACCCTCTTACAGAAGAGATGTAATTTTCTGGGAAGCTACAGGTGAGGCTATTCGCTAATGGGAATTATTTTTAACTTAGAAATGTGGAATTTAAGCCGTAAGCCTAGAGTGCATAGATTTGCGTTTAGCAGTTAGAAGCTTGTGGCTGTAGCTCTAAACCCTACACACTCGCTAGTTAAATACAGCCAACTTCTTAAAAGAGCAATCAAGCAAAGCTAACAGATTTATCAAAACAGCCCCTGTCTTAAGGAGAGTGGAACAAGCCTATTCTGGTGCAAACCCACTCCTCCTGAGCTCCATTTAAATGTTATACTTGTGCAAAACTGAACAGGGCAGTGGATAGTAGTGTGTATGTGTCTGCCTAGCTGGCTGGGAGACTGGCTGAGGAGCTAACAATTACAGTTGTTCTGTTTAAAGTGTAAACACCTGGTGCTCAAAGCTGTTCACCCTATATGGCAGGAGGCTGAGTGCTAGAAAAAGATGAAGGGTCAGTTACAGTTCTCTGGGCTGAATGTACAAAATTTCCCCAAACAGATGCAGTTGTTTCACTGGCTTGCTAGCTATGCCTACTCCCCAGCCCTAAAATGTAAACCAGTGTTTTAAACTAAAATTCCACACCCAAAAGCACTTTCACTAATTTAGGGCACACTTTCAAGCAATGCAAACGTTAACAGTGGAAAAAAGAGTGAAAGTGATTCTGCTAGGCCCCAAACTCCCTTTGCTGTATTCAGAGTGAACCAAGTTTCAACCTTATCTCTGACTTTTTCAAAATTAAATAGCAATAACAAGACATAACACACCTACCACTGTCTGCACTATTGAAGCGATGGAATATGAAGGAGAGCTGCTCACGGTAGAATCACCTTAATTCTTTTCCTTTAGTTTTTGCATTAACTGAAGTGTTATGTGTTTTGTAGAGGATATTAATATATGATTAATATTTACTAAAGTTTACCTGAGCTAGTGTGGGGAAGAAAACCTTCATTTCTAGAGAGACGACAGCAGGCTTTTCTTGTCCCTGTATGTTCCTCTTCCCCAGGTCCGTGCACAAACATAAGCAGTCATATTTACCATTTCATTAGAGCAATTAGGAACAAAGGAATTACTAGACATGGGATTTATCTAGTCCACTATCCTGTTGCCAGTAGCAGCTGCTTCCAACCGCTTCACAGAAAGGTTCAAGAAAACCTGCTGTAGGCAGTTATGGGATAATCTACCCCCAGGGAAGTTTCCTCCTAATTCCCCATCGTACACACACTCCTCCATCTCCACTCCAAATAGTTAGAATTTGTCTAAAACCCTGAAACACGAGGGTGTAATTTTTTAAACACTACTATGGCTCTGGCGAGTCTTGTTATCCACCAGTGTTTAATCCTTTTTTGAATCCTGCAGTTAGCCTCAATGATATATTGGAATCTATTGCTACATGTGCTAATTGTGTGAAGAAAGTATTTCCTCCTTTTTATCAGTTCTGAATTAATCATTTATCAACATCATTGAATAGCCCTTTATTCTTGTATCAAGACAGGATGAGTAGAGACACCTCTTCTCTCCTCCAGACCATTCATTGGTTTGGATACTTATGTCCCCTTCCCTAATGTAAACAATCCTACTTCTTCCAGATCTCTTCTTACAAGTTTAGACACAGGAGCCTAGCTCAGAAGTAGACCCTTCAGATTAACAGGCACTCAAGTATCTATTAAAAAGAACAGGAGTACTTGCGGCACTTTAGAGACTAACAGATTTATTAGAGCATAAGCTTTCGTGGGCTACAGCCCACTTCAAAGCTTATGCTCTAATAAATTTGTTAGTCTCTAAAGTGCTACAAGTACTCCTGTTTTTGCAGATACAGACTAACACGGCTGCTACTCTGAAACCTGTCAAGTATCTATTGTACACTTAAAAAAAATCCAGGAATTTTCTTAAGTGTACACTTTAATTGATTCACAATTCTCCTACCACCACAAGCTTACATAACTCAAAGTTTCTTTATTTATTCTTTGAAGACACTATGAATTCACAGTTCTTTCCCTCCTACTCCCTTTCCTGCCAATAGAATGCACTAGCTGTGGAGCTAAGTTACAGAAGTTCATACATAAAAGAGATGCAGTTAGGAATGTCCTGCTCTGATTCTAATAATCCCACTCCCACCCCAGTGATGGCAGGCTGTCAAATAACTAAAAGGGCCAGTGTTCTAGCAAGTCTCTGCAAACTGCAGTATTTAATCCATGATCAACACTGGACCCGAATGATTCCTACCGTGAAAAAATTTCAAAAGCCAAATACTTCTTAGGAAATGTACCACTCAAGAGAGATACCAGGAGTAAATATGTCTTCACAAGAAATCTGGAGATTGTCCACAGATTTTGTACTGTGAGTGACGGTCTGAATGCACCTTATCAGCAACGTTGAAGTCTCCGTGATGAAGGTCTAGTTTCGTCCTTCCAGTATCTGATTGATTGCTCTCATTTCCTCATGGGTCATGGAGTTCAAGTTAAATCCTTTCAACTCAGGTTTACCTGAGGAAGAACAACAAGCGGGAAATAAAGATATTGTTAAAAAGCATGCTCACTGGCGCCTGGTGAAAGAGTTCTCTAAACAACTGCCAGAACAAGTAGTCTGGAGAAGACACTGCTGTATTTGGCTGCAGAATTGTTCCCATAGTCATCACTGACTGAACTACCAGCAATTAGAAACAACTGATAACATGTTAGTGGTGCACAGTGGGGTCTGCAACAGAACAGTCCCAGGCACATGCCCACAAAACTCGGCAAATATGGGGCTTTTGCTGTAAAGAGAATGGAGGGGATTTATTCTCGGAATATAATTCATGGATTTTTGGACCTCTTCCCTCCACCCCTCACCTGATTTGTGCTCACAACCAAATGTTTCCTGACCCTTTTCAAATACCTTGAGCTTCAAAGAGATGGTTGACCTTCACTCTCAGCTCTTTCCGAAGTTGGTTTATTTCCTCGTCTAAGTGCTTCTGATCTGAGAAGATAGTGATGATGGTGATAATGAAGCATCCTGGAGTACAGTGAGTTAAGGCAACATCAACTCTGAGTGAGGGGGAACTCTTCTCTGCTGCCTATTCCTTGGATTCTCACTCTCATTAAAACTTGCTGCATTTGTTTCGTCATATAGAAAAAACTAGGTATACAGTTTTCTTTCTACAGAATATACTCATGCCAGATAATCCCTTCCAGTTAAGTATAAGTGAATTGAATGGTAAGAGAAACAAGGTTCTGGAGCCCAAACAGGCTCATCTGTAACTGCATTACAACCTGTCAGAAAAGATATGCCATGAGAGTACTGGGAGCCAAACCGATGGTTTCTTAAGAGTAACCGTAAGCTATCTGGGACAGGTACTGTCTTTTGTTTGGGTGGGAGGGTGTGGGGGAATGTACAGTAACTAATTATCAGGGCCTCTGGGTACTACCACAATACAAACAGTTAATATTTCTAAACCCACCCACTTTCATAGATTTTAAGGACAGAAGGGCCCATTATGATTTTCCAGATTGACCTCCTGCATAGTATACTCCTGGGGGGATTCTGTGCCAAAAAAATTAAAATTCTGCAAAATTATGCATATTTTGTCAAAATAATGCAATATAATCACACCAGTTTCAATTGTTTTCTTAATTTATTTAAACTAAAATATAGAAAAAAAGTCTCAGTAACTATTCAGCGTTTCCTAAACAAATGAAAGTTAAGTTACAAACACTTGATAACTAATCCCCTGCATTCCAGTTATAATCCTGGAATTTAATTTGAATTACAGAACACCACACAAAAACAAAAAAAAGTAAATATTTTAAATTGCTCAGACTTTCACACATGAAAGTCATACAGTTTTGCTAATCATTGTCCTGGACCTGGCTAGGTACTTTGGAAAGTGCTTGGTTCTTATGGTCCTGACATTTTTACTGACTGCTTGGTAAATGTTTTATTTGCCCTCAAAGTCTTTTTTCTTCATGAGGTAAGTAAAATAAATCCTGAGCTGTAATCTAACCCCATTGTGCCACTTTGACACAGGAAAAAAGTGAGAAAGCACATAGAGCTTCCTAGCTGAGGATTCCCTTCCTGTCATTTATAAGACTCCTTTACATCACTCTGGCAGTGTAGGGGCCTTGAAACTTTCACAGATTTTCATGCTCCTGGGGGAACTGACTCAGAATCATAGAATCATAGAATATCAGGATTGGAAGGGACCCCTGAAGGTCATCTAGTCCAACCCCCTGCTCGAAGCAGGACCAATTCCCAGTTAAATCATCCCAGCCAGGGCTTTGTCAAGCCTGACCTTAAAAACCTCTAAGGAAGGAGATTCTACCACCTCCCTAGGTAACGCATTCCAGTGTTTCACCACCCTCTTAGTGAAAAAGTTTTTCCTAATATCCAATCTAAACCTCCCCCACTGCAACTTGAGACCATTACTCCTCGTTCTGTCATCTGATACCATTGAGAACAGTCTAGAGCCATCCTCTTTGGAACCCCCTTTCAGGTAGTTGAAAGCAGCTATCAAATCCCCCCTCATTCTTCTCTTCTGCAGGCTAAACAATCCCAGCTCCCTCAGCCTCTCCTCATAACTCATGTGTTCTAGACCCCTAATCATTTTTGTTGCCCTTCGCTGGACTCTCTCCAATTTATCCACATCCTTCTTGTAGTGTGGGGCCCAAAACTGGACACAGTACTCCAGATGAGGCCTCACCAATGTCGAATAGAGGGGAACGATCACGTCCCTCGATCTGCTCGCTATGCCCCTACTTATACATCCCAAAATGCCATTGGCCTTCTTGGCAACAAGGGCACACTGCTGACTCATATCCAGCTTCTCGTCCACTGGCACCCCTAGGTCCTTTTCCGCAGAACTGCTGCCTAGCCATTCGGTCCCTAGTCTGTAGCTGTGCATTGGGTTCTTCCGTCCTAAGTGCAGGACCCTGCACTTATCCTTATTGAACCTCATCAGATTTCTTTTGGCCCAATCCTCCAATTTGTCTAGGTCCTTCTGTATCCTATCCCTCCCCTCCAGCGTATCTACCACTCCTCCCAGTTTAGTATCATCCGCAAATTTGCTGAGAGTGCAATCCACACCATCCTCCAGATCATTTATGAAGATATTGAACAAAACCGGCCCCAGGACCGACCCTTGGGGCACTCCACTTGATACCGGCTGCCAACTAGACATGGAGCCATTGATCACTACCCGTTGAGCCCGACAATCTAGCCAGCTTTCTACCCACCTTATAGTGCATTCATCCAGCCCATACTTCCTTAACTTGCTGACAAGAATACTGTGGGAGACCGTGTCAAAAGCTTTGCTAAAGTCAAGAAACAATACATCCACTGCTTTCCCTTCATCCACAGAACCAGTAATCTCATCATAAAAGGCGATTAGATTAGTCAGGCATGACCTTCCCTTGGTGAATCCATGCTGGCTGTTCCTGATCACTTTCCTCTCATGCAAGTGCTTCAGGATTGATTCTTTGAGGACCTGCTCCATGATTTTTCCAGGGACTGAGGTGAGGCTGACTGGCCTGTAGTTCCCAGGATCCTCCTTCTTCCCTTTTTTAAAGATTGGCACTACATTAGCCTTTTTCCAGTCATCCGGGACTTCCCCGGTTCCCCACGAGTTTTCAAAGATAATGGCCAATGGCTCTGCAATCACAGCCGCCAATTCCTTCAGCACTCTCGGATGCGACTCGTCCGGCCCCATGGACTTGTGCACGTCCAGCTTTTCTAAATAGTCCCTAACCACCTCTATCTCCACAGAGGGCTGGCCATCTCTTCCCCATTTTGTGATGCCCAGCGCAGCAGTCTGGGAGCTGACCTTGTTAGTGAAAACAGAGGCAAAAAAAGCATTGAGTACATTAGCTTTTTCCACATCCTCTGTCACTAGGTTGCCTCCCTCATTCAGTAAGGGGCCCACACTTTCCTTGGCTTTCTTCTTGTTGCCAACATACCTGAAGAAACCCTTCTTGTTACTCTTAACATCTCTGGCTAGCTGCAGCTCCAGGTGCGATTTGGCCCTCCTGATATCATTCCTACATGCCCGAGCAATATTTTTATACTCTTCCCTGGTCATATGTCCAACCTTCCACTTCTTGTAAGCTTCTTTTTTATGTTTAAGATCCGCTAGGATTTCACCATTAAGCCAAGCTGGTCGCCTACCATATTTACTATTCTTTCGAATGGGAACAGTTAACTAATAATAGGAACAATAGGCATGCTGCTACATTTCTGCCCCAGAGAATGAGATCAATTAACTCAGGCAGGCTGCTTCATTTGTGCCTCTAGCCTGCCTCACCCATAATAAAAAGCCCTACCCTTACACACCAGGGAACTGCAGTCACGAGGGACAAAGTCTCTCTCTCTCTCGTTGGCACACAGGTACGCCCAGCCCCGCACCCCTCCTCCTGACCATGATCACCAGGCACGCACCACCAGCCCCCCCACAATCTCTGAGGCTGCTTCAGGCACGCTGGAACAGATGCGCTGCCTGGGAAGAGACACGTGTCCCCCGGCAGATTTTTTTGTGTTTTTCTGCACGGGGGGCACAGAAAAATGCAGACCATATGAATTTTGTGCCGCCGCATGCCGCAGAATCCCCCCCCAGGAGTACAGGCCAGACCATTTCACCCAGTTACCCCTGTACTGAGTCCAGTTTTAAAATGTGCCACCTTTCAATTTCATTGAATGCCCCTTTGTTCCTCATATGATAGAGGCAAGTTGAATACAAGTTCCCGATCTACCTTTCTCACCCTTCCTTTTTTTGTATACTTTTATCACATCCCCTCTCTACCAAGGTGGAGAACTAACTCATCTTCCTTTCATAGCAGAGATTTTCTTGTCACTCATCTCTGAAGCCCCTCTAATTCTGCTGCATCCCCTTTGATATGGGGTGGCCCATACCACACACAGTATCAAAGGGAAGGTGCCCCATTGATTTATAGAATGGTATTCAGATATTTTCCATATTATTCTCCAGCCCGTTCCTTATGCATCCTAAAATTGTTTGTCTTCCTCACAGTTGCTGCCCAGGACTTATAGAACAATACACAGTGATGCCCAGGTTTTTTTCCTAAGCAGTGACAATTAACGTACATCCCAGGGAAATGTATGAGTGGTTCAAATTATCCCCTCTAATGTGTATTTGTCACCACTGAATTCCACCTGCCATTTTGCTGCCCATTTACCTAGCTTGGAAGTTCCTCATCAGCACTACTCCCTCATTTCTTTGACCTAATTTGTTCCTGTACAATTTATACCCAAGTATTAAAATATTAATTTAGCTTTTTACATTTAATCTCCTAATTCCTTAGTAAAAAGTGTAAAGGCTGCACTGTTAAACACTCAGCACAACCTGGACAGAGGCCACCTCACTTCACAGCCAAGTTAAGGGCCTCTTCCTCTGAATTGCACTCAAGGAAAGTTGTGGGGCATTTTGGAAAGGATATGCAGGGTACATGGCTCACAAAGCAGGTTGACGAGGCAAAGCACTGAACTGGGTGTCAGGAAACTCCAGTTCTACTCCTTGCTCTGCCACTGACAAGCTACTCCCCTTCTCAGTGCCTCAATTTCCCCATGTGTAAAACACAGGTACTGGTACTTAACCTTCTCTGGAAGGCACTCTGAGGCCTAGGGATGAGAAGTGCTATCTAGGAGCTAAGCTTCCAGGCAGTGGTGAGAATAAAAGTTCTGGATATAAAAGCTCTAAGTCAATAAAGACAGACTGGCTCAGCAACCAAATTAGCACAAGTACCATACTTGTGACACAAGACACCTGTGTATATGTCCAAGGGTATGAAAAAAAAACTTGTTCAATCCTGGCTGAAGCTTGAGAGTTTACAAGCAGGTTTTAGAAATCTGGCATCTGTCTTACCTTTCTGAATCATTTCCTTCGTTTTTGAATTTGGAAGCTGAATAAACATGTTTCCAAAGCAAACCATTGCTTTATCTGAAACAGAAAGACAGCCTGTTTAGATATTTTCATAATGAAACATGCTCCTCTGCATCCTGCTGGGTACAAAATAAATGCAAAATCCAACCAGCAGGCTAGTTTTTGTAGACCCTTCTGTGCTCCACAACAGTCTGCAGAATTGTTTAGGTGTGTGTCTAAGAACAATTAAGCAAGATTCAGTCTCATGGAACCTGCGTAAGAGTGAGTTAGTCACAACAAACACTGTAATTGACCTCTCCCCAAATCTACCTCCACTCTGAGGCACAAACTCGCACAATTACATCCGCAGCTGCAACTGTGTGTTTAATCTGCATGTGCCATTTTGGAAATGTGGCCCTCCATCACTTTGCAGGCAGGGTGTGTCAATTACAAAGATAACACAGCAACTTTGTGTCAGGCATGTCAGAGAGCTGAAAATTTCACAGATGTGAACAGCAGCGCTAACACTGGATCCCTCACCAGAAGGGCCTGGGTCCTTCTGCAGAGCCCTGAGAGCTTCTCGGTTCTGATTCCGCTTTAGATCCAGGTCCACAATCTGGAAAAGAAACAGGAACATTCAGATTTCTCCAGCCTAAGGTGAAATCATAACTGTTATGAGCTGGGTGAAGCCTTGTTTTGGATTGAGTTAAAATCCCACTGAGAGCCATAGGTCTGGACTTACCCTGCAATTAACATAACCGCAAGGGTAAGCCCCTGCCCAGGACAAAAGGTGAGTGTGAGGCCCCTGGGACTTTCTGGCGGAGCATCGTTTCGGGGAGGAGTGTGGGATGAGCAGGTTACACGAACACCGGTCAGGGATGGTCTAGAGAATACTCAGTCCTGCCATGAGTGCAGGGGAGCGGACTAGGTGACCGCTCCAGCTCCCTTCCAGTCCTACGAGGGAACACGGGGAAAGGGGGAGCGGCCCAGGGCAGAGAACGAGGCAGAAACAAGCTAGAAAGCCGAGCTGCGCCCGGCGGAGCCCTGGGAGAGCCGGAGAGCGAGCCAGCCAGCGAGCTTTGGGCTCTGGCGGCTAAAGCGGCCGGGGGCTGCGGCTCGGTTCCCGGTTCCTCCCGCGCTGGGGCGAGCAGGGGCTTCCTACCGGCCTGTAAATCGCCCCCCCGCCCCCGTCCAGCCGGGGCCCGCCACGGGGCAGCGCCAGGGCCGCTCGGCGTGGCTGGCCGGGGGGTCCCCAGGGGCGCCGCGATGGGCCCGGGGAGAGGCCGCCCGCGGTACCTGCCGCCGCCCCGCCAGCACCTCCTCCGCCAGCTCCTCCACCTGGGCCAGGTAGCGCAGCACGAACTCGGGCTCCCGCGCCATGGCGCCCGGCCGGTCCGCCCGCAAACCCGCCCGGCCGGGAACCGCGGCCCGCGGGCGCCAGGGGGCCGGGCGGGCCAGAGCCGCCCCTCGGCCCGGGGCCTGGGCCGGGCCCGCCCGCTCCTGCGGCCCCTTGGGCCCCCGGCCGGAGCCCGCGGAGCCCGGCGCCCCTTCGGCCCCGCCGCCCGCCGCGGCGAGCGGGCCTGCCGGGCCCCTCCCCGGCTCCCCCCGGGGGCTGCCGCCGGGGCCGCTGTTGCTGAGGGCGCCTCCCTGGGGCACCCCCGCTCTGCGGGGCTCGCCGGCCGGTGGGGGTCTCTTGTGGAGGGCGCCCCTGTGCGCTGTCCCAGGCGGTGCCCTTGCCTCGCCTAGGGTGACCGGACCGCAAGTGTGAAAAACCGGGAGAGGCGGTGCGGGGTCGCAGGCCCCTGTGTTTCCCAAAAGAAAGTCCTGAATAGCGGGACTCTCCCTGTAAAACCCGTACACCTGGTCACCCCAGGTCACTTGCGCCGACCCCTCAGCCCCAGCCATATTGCCAGGCGCCTCCCGCTCCGGGGGGACCATGGCACCCGCCGCTGCCATGCACCTGCCTCTGGGGTGGGAGGTAGCCCTTGCTTAAGGGCAGGCCCTGGCGCAGCCGAAGGGCCCCGGGCTGGCGCAGAATCCTGTCGCGGGTTGGAAGGCCCCGGGGGTAGAGTACCCTTACCCGAATTATAATTGGCCTTGGGGCGAAGGGCACAACGCTGAAAAGTGCCGTGGAATGGCTCATGAGCACCAAGTCAGCGTTGGTTCCTGGCTTCCTGCTCCCTAAGTCCCCCTCTGAGACCACAGAGGTGCACCTGGTTAAACCAGATACCAGGGGTCTGTAGGTTTCAGAGTAGCAGCCGTGTCTGTCTGTATCCGCAAAAAGAACAGGAGGACTTGTGCCACCTTAGAGAGACTAACCAATTTATTTGAGCATAAGCTTTCCTGAGCTACAGCTCACTTCATCGGATGTCTGTAGATTATTGATACCCCTAGATGCTATGCAGCTGCATAATTCTTCCTTCTAATTCTGAATACGGCAGCATTCGGGATAACTTCAGCTTTCAGCCTAGATATGTGAACTGACTTCTTTACCTTTGGTCCTTGTTACAAGAACTGAGTGTTTCTCTGTGGAGAATGGAGACGTGCTGAATGGAATGGAGGCATCCTGAGTACATTTGCAGGGGGCGTTAGTGCATGTCTGTGCGAGAGAGAGAGAAGCAAAAAATCTTCGGTCAAGATGAAGTCGTGTTTATATGGCAAAAATCACTTGAAATTAAACAAATATGTTTTAGAGACTTTCCAGTCAAAAAGAGGACAGCTTAAGTAAATAGCCTCTGAGTTTGAAATAATTGAGAAAGGACAAAGGTCTTGTTTGCAGTATAAGAGCAAAAAGGGATGTCAAATACTTGGTGAGGGGTAGGGACTTGGTAGCATCCCCCTCCATGCCTCTTCTGCTGGGTCATTGCCTGAACACTCTTTGTTGCCAAAATACTCTATAAGGGTCTTCTTTACTGGAGAAATGACAGCTGAATATTTAGCAACTCAGGACAGGGAGAGGTTTCTGTGGAAGTGAGTCAGCACCACTCTTGATGAAGCAGCAACTCTCCTGCGTGAAAGAGTAAATTACATTAATGTAATTAAACAGGGGCACTCAATTCATGAAGAGCATCTGTTTAATGCACAAAAGCAATAAAAGTGAGGGATCAGGGCTTCTCCAAGACTGGTCCCTGCCAAGTCACTGAGCAGTTGTCATTAAGGTATTGAAGGTTCTTCCTGGTGTTAAGAACCACTTCAGCTGCAGCTGAAGTCCTTGGAATAATGCAACTTCATGTAACTTTGGAGTCCAATTATGGATTGCATAAGTGAAAAGATTTTGCCAAAGAAATATGTAGGGAAACCTCCCAGAATCTGGATGTAAACTAATATTAATGATTGATTTTCATTAAAGGTTTTTTGGGTTTTTTTTTTGCTGTGCTTGGAAATTGCTTACAATATTAAGTGTCTGCAAGGGTGGGAAATGTGTCTGCAAGCTGCATGGAAACTTTTTAAAGGCACCATAATAGAGGTTCAACTTAAATGTACACCCCAAATTAAAAAAAACATAGAGAACCAAAAAAAAAGAGCCACCGTGACTAAACTACAAAGTAAAAGAAGCAGTGAGAGGCAAAAAGGCCTCCTTTAAAAAGTGGAAGTTAAATCCTAGTGAGAAAAATAGAAAGGAGCATAAACTCTGGCAAATTAAGTGTAAAAATACAATTAGGAAAGGCAAAAAAGAATTTGAGGAACAGCTAGCCAAAGATTCAAAAAGTTATAGCAATTTTTCTTTTAAGTACATCAGAAGCGGGAAGCTGCTAACCAATCAGTGGGGCCATTGGACAATCGAGGTGCTAAAGGAGCCCTCAAAGACAACAAAGCCATTGCGGAGAAACTAAATTAATTCTTTGCATTGGTTTTCACGGCTGAGGATGTGAGGGAGATTCCCAAACCTGAGCCATTCTTTTTAGGTGACACATCTGAGGAACTGTCCCAGATTGAGATATCATTAGAGGAGGTTTTGGAACAAATTGATAAATTAAACAGCAATAAGTCACCAGGACCAGATGGTATTCACCCAAGAGTTCTGAAGGAACTCAAACGTGAAATTGCAGAACTACTAACTGTCGTCTGTAACCTATCATTTAAATCAGCTTATGTACCAAATGACTGGAGGATAGCTAATGTGATGCCAGTTTTTAAAAAGGGTTCCAGAGGTGATCCCGGCAATTACAGCCTGTAGGCCTGACTTCAGTACCGGGCAAACTGGTTGTAACTATAATGAAGAACAATATGTTCATCTATATGTCTGACAATAATTTGTTGAGGGAGAGTCAACATGGTTTTAGTAAAGGGAAATCATGCCTCACCAATCTACTAGAATTCTTTGAGGGGGTCAGCAAGTATGTGGACCCAGAGGGATCCAGTGGATATAGTGTATTTAGATTTTCAGAAAGCCTTTCACAGTGTCCCTCACCAAAGGCTCTTACGCAAAGTAAACTGCCACGGGATAAGAGGGAAGGTGCTCTCATGAATTGGTAACTGGTTGAAAGATAGGAAACAAAGGGTAGGTATAAATGGTCAGTTTTCAGAATGGAGAGAGGTAAATAGTGGTGTCCCCCAGGGGTCTGTACTGGGACCAGTCCTATTCAACATATTCATAAATTATCTGGAAAAAGGGGTAAACAGTGAGGTGGCAAAATTTGCAGATGATACAAAATTACTCAAGATAGTTAAGACCCAGGCAGACTGCAAAAGGATCACTCAAAACTGAGTGACTGGGCAAAAAATGGCAGATGAAATTTCATGTTGATAAATGCAAAGTAATGCACATTGGAAAGCATAATCCCAACTATACATATAAAATGATGGGGTCTAAATTAGCTGTTACTACTCAAGAAAGAGATCTTGGAGTCATTGTGGATAGTTCTCTGAAAACATCCATTCAATGTGCAGCAGCAGTCAAAAAAGCGAACAGAATGTTGGGAATAATTAAGAAAGGGATAGATAATAGGACAGAAAATATCATGTCTTTATATAAATCTATGGTACGCCCACATCTTGAATACTGTGTGCAGATGTGGTTGCCCCATCTCAGAAAAGATTTATATTGGAATTGGAAAAGGTTCAGAAAAGGGCAACAAAAATTATTAGGGGGATGGAACAGCTTCCGTATCAGGGGAGATTGATAAGACTTTGACTTTTCAGCTTGGAAAAGAGATGGCTAAGGGGAGATCTGATTGAGGTCTATAAAATCATGACTGGTATAGAGAAAGTAAATAAGGAAGTGTTGTTTACTCCTTCTCATAACACAGGAACTAGGGGTCACCAAATGAAATTAATAGGCAGCAGGTTTAAAACAAATAAAAGGAAGTATGTCTTCATACAACACACAGTCAACCTGTGGAACTCCTTGCCAGAGGATGTTGTGAAGGCCAAGTCCATAACAGGGTTCAAAAAATAACTAGATAAATTCATGGAGGATAGGTCCATCAATGGCTATTAGCCAGGATGGACAGGGATGGTGTCCCTACCTCTGTTTGCCAGAAGCTGGGAATGAGTGACAGGGGATGGATCACTTGATGACTCCCTGTTCTGTTCCTTCCCTCTGGGGCACCTGGCATTGGCCACTGTCGGAAGACAGGATACTGGGCTAGATGGACCTTTGGTCTGACCCAGTATGGCTGTTCTTATTAAATAAACTGAGGTGAAAGCTCACAAAGCAGACAAACAGTGGTACCCCTGTGTCCACAAGCCCTCTAGAACACCAAGGAGTTAGTAGGGTAATTAAAGTAGATGAAGCAGTTGGAGAGAAGGTAAATGAATTCCTTGCAGCAGCCTTCCTAAAGCAGATGATGAGGAAATTCCTGCCTCAAGGGCATTCTTTACAGGAAATCATAGTATGGCATGAACAGAGCAAGAAGTCTCTGAAGAAGAGATTATGGAACAGCTCAAGTAACTTGAGTGCAGGGAGTCCCTAGAACCAGATGGCATTCCCACAAGAGTTCTTAAGGAACTAAAACTTGAGGCTGCCCTAAGGTTCTGTAACAGATCCCTAACCATGCTCCTGAACCTGAAGAATGGAAATTCACCACTGTGATTATCTTCTTCTAAAGAGGAGCCAGGGTGACCATGAGAATTACAGATTAACAAGCCTCCTGTCAGTGCGGGGAAAACTGACTGAGTGTAATTTCCAAATAATACACCATGTAGAAAAATGTTAAATGAATACAGGCAAACCAGCACAGGTGCTTGAAGGGTAAATATTGCTGCTCTGACCTGCTAGAAATTTTTGGCAGAGCTATTAAAATAATGGAGGAAGGGGGAATCGGGCAGATATAGTTTACTTGGATTTTCCAAAGCATTTGCCAAGGTCGTTCCAAGATGCTGTTAAAGAAAATAAATAGCCATGGGGTAAAGGGGCAAAATCCTGTAGGGATTTGAAAAGTAGCTAAATGATAGGAAATAGTGTCATAATTAACAGCTGCTTTTCATAGAGATAAAATGTTTAATAGTGGGAAACCATGGTGATCAGTGTTGGAATCAGTCTTAAATGTGTATGAAAGAGTTGGTGGAAAGTGGGAAATGTGGAGTGATATTTTCTGATGATTGAAACCTATGTAGATCATTAACAATTATCAAGGATTGTGAGACTCTTCAGAAGGAGTAACATTGGGGTTTGGGCATCACACTGGCAATGACATTTACTCATCTCCCCTCTCTTTAATTCAGATAAAGGGAGGACTTTTTAATTGAGGTGTATGAAATACCAAAGGGTCTACTGAAATCCTTCTGGTTTCAGACACTCATTTTCACGCTGAACACTGGATGTGAGAACACAATGGCACTCAGAGCTGAAAGGCAGTACATCTAAAATACTGGGGGTTTTCTTCTTAACTCATTGTGCAATCAACCTACAGAACTCCTTGCAGCAAGAAGTGACAGTTGGTTACACCTAGTGACAGTTGTGGAAAGAATAGACTAATTTCCTTGGAGGATTTCAACAAATCCATCACAAA